GAGAGAAGCAAAGAATGAGAGATATTCTATACGCTGCTTCACTCCCCAAAGGTCACAATAGCCAGACCTGATTCAACCCAAAGCCAGGATCCAAATACCTGGAGCCTCCTCCGGGTCTCCCACATGGGTCCAGGGACCCAAAGACTTGAGCCGTCCCCCACTGCTTTCCCAGACCATACCAGGAGCTAGGTCAGAAGTGAAGCAGCCTGGACACAAGCTGGCGCCTAAGTGGGATACCATCACCAAAGGCAGCCTCTTATTACTCTGCTATATCACAGCACCGGACCCTGTTTCTAAAGATACATTTAAGAGACAAAGGGGGGCCCAGCGGCGTGGCCTAGCGGCTAAGGTCCTCACCTTGAACGCCCCGGGATCCCACATGGGCACTGGCTCTTATCCTGGCAGCTCCACTTCCCATCCAGCTCCCTGCTTGTGGCCTGGGAAAGCAGTCGAGGACGGCCCAAAGCATTGGGACCCTGCACCCGTGTGGGATACCCAGAAGAGGCTCCTGGATCCTGGCTTCAGATCGGCATAGCATCTGCCGTTGCTCTCACTTGGGGAGTGAATCATGGGATGGAAGATCTTCCTCTCTGTCTCTCCTCCTCTCTGACTTTCCAATAAATAAATAAATAATAATAAAATAAAATAAAATAAAAAGAGACAAAGGGGAGTGCAGAGAGAGCTCTTGTCCACTGGCTTACTCCCTAAATGCCAGCAACAGTCAGGAACTGGAACATCAATCCAAGTCTCCCACATGTGTGGCAGGAACCCGAAGACTTGAGCCATCATTGCCACCTGCCATGGTCTGCATTAGGAGGAAGCTAAAATCAGGAGCCAGGGCCAGGCATCAACCTCGGGTCCTCTGAAATGGGCCACAAATGTCTTACCAGCATCTTAACAGCTGGGCTGAATCAGTGACCCTTAAGTTGAAATAACAACTAGTGGCTAAAGTCCTCACCTCGCATCCACTGCCAGGACCCCATATGTGCAACACTTGGTGTCCTGAAAGCTCCACTTCCCATCAAGCTCCCCGCTTGTGGCCTGGGAAAGCAGTGGAGGAGGGCCCAAGGCTCTGGGACCATACACCTGTGTGGGAGACCTGGAAGAAGCTCCTGGCTCCAAGTTTCAGATTGGCTCAGCTCTAGCTGTTGTAGCCACTTAGGGAATGAACCAGTGGATGGAAGATCTTTGTCTCTTCTTCTCTGTCTAAATCTGATTTTCTAATAAAAATAAATAAAATCTGTAAAAATAATTAACTACTAATCCCATGACTTAGTTAAGGAACAAGGATATTCTGTCCTCTTTTTGACAAGTATGCACTATAACCAGCCTCCTTCCAACATCCAGAGGTTTCATGGAGTCCACCTATCGTTCACAGAGCTCATTTCCCTTCTAGTTGGTGAGGAGCCCACAATCATTTACTCTGTGGACATTTTTCCCTGAGTTAATGGTTTCCCTACAAAGAAAATGATCAACTGAACTTACCAAAATGCAAAGGATTGATACCATTTAATGGATTTCTCTTTCCAGAGAGAAATCTTCATAAGGATGTCTGCAGACCTCTGTGACAGACCTAAAAGGAAGTCTGTCAAATAGAAAAGCCATTCTGGTACCTCAAGTCAGTGATGAGGTTGACCAGATCTACTGCAGAGCCTGGCTGGGGAGAGCAAATTACAGAATGTTTAAGCACACCTGCTCAGTGAAGGTGAGACCAAGAGGTGTCCTGTGAGAAGGACAGACACCCTCTTCAGGCCAGCAATACTCCTTCAGGGGAGGGAAGGGAAAGCAATTCAGAAGAGACACACACAAGGATTAGAAATATTCAAATGTTTTGGTAACATATTATCTCTCAAGCAGCATGATGATACATTAGCACTCACTAAATTAGACTCAATTTATGCCATGACTATAATTTTGTCATAAAAAGAACCAGTACATGGCATGTAACTGCATAACTGAATTGACAAATTAGGAACACCGAGAAAACATTTGGTATTCGGATAATAATTTATGAAACAGGGCTTGAACGAAGAGTAAAATAACAGGCTACTGGAAAAAGTTACACATTTTTCTAAAGAAAAAAATGGTGAGCAAATGCAAAGCCTAAATAATGTACAACAGGTAAACCACATGAAGACAGATCATCTCGGAGAATAGTCACAGAAGTCTAGGAATTACAATGAGACCCAGTGATGCAGTCGTTGGACACCAGGTGGACAAGTGTACCCCAAATCCGACAACAGAGGAATGAAGTGATGTCAACAAAACAAACCTGTTCTATGGATTAACAGCAGGATAGCCAGAGAGGACAAGAACACAGGACTAGGATGGAGATCCCAGTGCCCTGCCTCTACTCCACACTGAGCCCTTGCAGAGCTGAAATATTTTTGAAAACCACTGGACTCCAGCACCCAGTTGGAAGGCACCACCGTAGCGTTTCAAGGCTGAGGATCATAAAAACCCTGGGATGGACTGCAATCTTCGGAAATGAGAAGGAGGGGAGAGGGTGCTTAGCGCAAAGGTTTTCACAGACTTTTTAACAAAACATTTGGTAGGACTTAATGATGAATGAGATGGTATTTCCAAAGAGTAGAACTACTGAAATAATCAAAATGCCCCATGAGCAGCACCAATGGCCGCACGATCTTTCCAACATCAGCAACACAGACATGACTATGTACTTGGCTGTGAGCACAGAGGCATTGCTACTCAAGTCGGAAAGGCTAAGTGGCACAGATTAAGAAGTGAAAGGGACGGGAGTGCGCAAACATGACCATGATGGCAAGGAATGCTCCGAAAGTGGGTTTGGAAAGATCACTGTACTTAATGACAGGACACACACAGCCCACAGGCCTGGCTCTCACTGCACTTGACCCCCTCTGAGCCTCATCTGATAAGCAAAACATGAGTTCACAACAACCAACATCATCCAACACAATATGGAGCACTACGTTATCGGCACTGAAACACAGGACCCCGCTTAATCCCTACAATGCACTTTATAGCTGAAAAAGTTCAGAGTCAGAGCTACACACCAAGTGGCGGGGCCAGGATTACTCCTCCTAAGGACGAGTACGGAAAGCAATGTCTAGAGCGTCCGGAACTGCATAACGTCTGTGACAGATCGATATATGAAGATAGTCCCTTACGATAATATCACTTTAGCCATACATCATCCATCACAGCTGCCTCAGGTTAATGAAGTATACTGCAAGATGTTCGCATGACTGTGAAATTGCCTGGCGACTGTATAAATTTCCTGGTGAACAGCATGGTCTCAAAAATGGGAGCTGTATTATTAGAAGATGATGACCGAGGGTGTGACCCAAAAACGCTGAAATGCCTTGTGCAGCCTTCTTCCCATATGCTAAGCTCTCTCAGTGTTCTGTCTACAAGATGAGATTAGCCCCTGCCTTCCAACCTTCTCCATAGGATTCAATATTAATGCATATGAACATGCTGTGAAAACTCGAGACATTTAAATATAAAGGCTTCCCATCATGCATCTTTTGCTCTTCAGCAATGCCTTCCTGCCTCAAAATAAGTGTCTCCAAAGAGAGCTAAAAATAAATCTGTTAATGTGCAACCACCACTTTGAAAAGTAGAAATCACCATGGCATCACCCACCCACACCTCCCCGAACTCTTCCAGATTGCCTCTGAAGGGTACACAGTCTCTTAACACCTATCTCGCAACTGGGGTCATCATCAGAGCTAATGTTTCCATTCAGAGTCTGTCACCTGGCCTCTGGCATGATCTCAGCGAGATGCCCCACTTACAGACCTTCCAAAACAGAAAAAAGGACCCAGTTGTCTTCCACAGAACCAGAGTGTGTCGTGTAGAACACAGCTTACAAAAGGCTAGGACAGAGCTCAGGGCCTCATTCAGGGGCTCTCAGAGCAGGCAGCTCTTTGGGAGATCCCTGTAGGCCACACCCCCCCCCCCAGTCCAACTCCCTTTCACCTGAACAGATGGTTTGCAGGCCTCACACCTCTGGCTCCTCCAGCTCCTACCTTTTCAATTATTCCACGCCCTTGAATACAACACCTTTCATCTAAAGATCTCAGGGTATCAAAGCACATCAACTCTTTCATCGACACAGCAGCTCTATCTGGGGGAGAGACGCACCCTTATTTTATAAATTCAAGAAGCAATATGGAGGTTAAATGCCTTATCCAGCATCAATTAGTTGATTCACCCTGAAGGTGAAAGTGCACATTATGAACTTACCACATCAATGAATAGCCACGATTTATTTAGTTTTCTGCCAATATTTCAGACATGCACTCTGCACTCATCCACACCTCCAGCATACCAAAGATTAAATAAGCAACGAACAACAAAGTCTCACTATTTATTTTCACATGCAAAACTCTCATGTGGAGGAGGAACTCCAAGTCAAGAATCCTCGTCTCCACAAATACTTCTCAACTTGTGGGGGGCAGGGGAGAAGGAACACCTGTCAGTGTAGTCTAGCCACAGTAAGTTTTACAGACTCTGTCGCTATTAATATTTAATTCCTTAACTGTAAATCAACAACCAGCCTCCTTCCCCCCTCCCCCACACACACAGAAAAGGGGAGGAGGAGGAATATTATGAAGAATATTTTGACAAGAAAGCCTACACGGTTCTCAATAATTTCCTGGTGTTAGGGCTTCCAGGTTGCAAGAAATTTGCCACGAGAGAAAACCCTCCCCGACCCAGGAGATGAGGCCCTGGGCGGAGCGGAGGAGCCTGGCGCTGCCCACCCAACTCTCCACGCGCGCCAGGCCCCGCCGGCCCGGGACGGGGGCGCGGACTCGCCTCGGGCCAGGGGCCCCCGCGAACACACAGCGCCCGGGCACACCCATCTGCCTCCCGACCCTCGGCACGCCCGGCCCGGCTCGGGTCCCGGAAGGCTGAGGGGACAGAGAGAGGGTCGCAGTAGGGCCCAGGCCTAGCCGCCTCCGCCCTTAGGGCCGCCGCTCCCCTCGGGGCTGCCCGCTCCGGGTGCTCGTTACCTCTTGGGCGCCGGCGGCTGCTCCATGGCGGCCGGGGGCAGAAAGAGGGACCTGCTGGACAAGCGAAGGCCAGAGGCAGGAAAGGAGCCGACCGAGCCAGCCCAAGGAACCACAGAGAAAAACTCCGGGAACTCAGACCAACTTTCCCGTAACTCCACGGCGGATCTCCCTCCCGCTCGGGAGCGCGGCTCCTCCCGGCCCGCCCCGCCCCTTGGCCGCCGGTGGTGGAGCCCCAGCGGCCGGCGGAGGCGGGGCCAGCGGCCGGCGGAGGCGGGGCCAGCGGCCGGCGGAGACGGTCCAGGCAGGATGGGCGGGGCCCGGCGCCGCGCTCAGGGGGCGGGGCCGGCCGCGGCTCTCCTCACGGCAAGGGGGCGGAGCCGGGCTCCGTCGGGGGCGGAGCCGCCTTTACCTCAGAGAGGGAAACTTGGAGGCGGCGGTGGGAGAGTCCTGGGTTGGCTTCGTGAGACCCCGGGGCGGCTCTGGGCACGCCCCGCCGTGGGCTGGCTCCTGAGTGGACTCATTTTTTTTTTTCTGGCTTCCCAGGGACTCAATCCCAAACGCCTTTGAAGTTGTACTGACTGCCCACGCTTCCTTCTCCAGCTCTGTTGTATAATTACTGGTTTTTTCCCCCAGCCGTTTGACATTCATCGCTGCCAGTACTAGGGATACTTCTGGAAAGTCTGGTTTGATTTTGATGGTGCTCCTCACTACATGTCACAATAATTACATCTAATTACAGAGAAAATAATTACTGTAGTGAGAGTTCTCAGGGCACCCCAAGTCAGTGGATGGGTATATTGCTGTCTGCTTGACTGGATAAACTGACAGGCTTAACATAATTTACCCTGGTGCCTGGGCAAGACTTACTCAAGACAAGTTCCCTTCCTTCCCTCCTGGCCTCTTGCACAAGCCTGCTCACAAATTGAGAGCTCACCTGATGGCAGTGCATCCCCTTCATCCATCCATATTGCATTTATCTTTCTAATGATCATACATGGCTACTATATCATGAATCTGCTTGTTTTCATTTGAATTTGCCAAGATGAAGAGTCATATTGGGCTTTTTTGGGGGTTGTGATTAGAACAATGAGTATGTAGAGAATGTTAAATAATATAACTATTAACCTAAGTTGATCTATTCTGTTAGCAGTTTAGTCTTCTTTTTGCATTATTTTAAGTTTCACAATGTAATAAGCTTACATGTTATTTTTTTGAGAGACAGAGAGAGAATACATCCTTCCTGGTTCATTCCCCCAAATACCCACAAAAGCTTGCCAGTCGCCAGTAGGGTTTGTTTTCAAACCATCCTATTCTCCTCTCAGTTTGGTTCCCGTACATTGGCAAAGATCATTTGTTGCTGAAGCAAAGTCAGCTTCTGTGAACTAGACAGATTCTCAGAAACATTTTATACATTTTTGTAATCAGTGAAGAGCCACAAGCTATTCAGAAAATAACATGACAGTTAACAACCAAAAGAGAGAGAATGCTAAGTTACCACGGCATTGAAGCTAGAGAGACCCTTCCTTTGGAAATCACAGCTGCCACTCAGGCTCTTGTTCATTTCCCGCCACACACCCTCGTTGGGCTTCATCTGTTTGGGGCAGGTGTTTGGCACAGTGGTTAGGATGCTACAGGGAACATTTGGAACATCAGGCTACCTGGATTCCAGTCCCCGCTCAGCTTCAGATCCCAGCCTCCTGAGAATGGGCACTCCTGGAAGCAGCTCTGCTGGCTCAAATATCCCGCCACTCCCCTGGGAGACTCGGACTGAGCTCCTGGCTTTGGCCTGATCTAGCTGTTGAGGCAAATGAACCAGCAAATGAGATCTGTCTCTCCATCACCCAGCCTGCTGTTACTCTACCTTTCAAATAAATAAATGTTTAAGAGGAAAGAAGTCACATTTATCAGACTGTCACCCTGCCTGATCCACTGTGAGCCCACTGGTGAAGAGCTAAAACTGACCTTCCTTTGCTCTGCCCCTTGCAGAGCAGCTGCCTGGCTCCTAGGCTGGGTACTGGGCCAAAGAAGTTCCTTCTCTCTCTGCCTGTCCTCTGCCCTGGGAACTAACTTGGCCGGCTGACATCACTGGGCTCCTCCGTCTGCTGGCTTCTGGGTGAGCCCAAGAGAGGAGAGCAGCACAGGTGTTTGGTTCCTGGTTCCTTTCCTGTGATGTCACCCTTTGCTAGGTGCAAGGTGAGCTGCTCTTGCTTTCCTTCTGTGCCCTGGCCTTTCAACTCAGGGGCAGTGACTGCTCTGCTGGCCCTGCATTCCTTCTCAGTCTCCTGTGTTCCCTTGTATCTAAGTTTTCTCAAAGGACTCCTTGGAAAAGTAGCCCCTCCTTCAGGGCCCTAATCTGAGTGTACCTTCCAAAGCATTTCTTATTGCAATCCTGACACATACACCCATATGGCTTCTGGAGAAAGGATGAATCATATGAGAAGCATCTCTGAGGGCTTCCCTCAAGGAGCAAAGGGAGAAGCCTTGCCATTATTGTGTGGCTCCACTAGGATCAGACGCCTGGCCTATATATCCAATAAAACTGTCAACACTGCCTTGTGAAATCATCCTTACTTCCACTCTATACGTGTGCAAGCAGGTTCAAAGAGATAAAAGGGAGCTCCCATAGCCCATACTGAAAGCTCCCACCCCTGGCCTTTATGACTCCAAAGCCAGCTTCACTCTGCTGTGTCGGTCAATAAATACTTACTGAGCACCAAAGTACGCCAGGTGCCTATCAGAGAATATAGCCAGTGTACAGCAACAGCTGTCCTCAGGAGGTTTGATAGACGCAAAATGCTGCCCTCATTCCAGAAATCAGTGCCTATTGGGAACGTTCGATACTGACACCTGCTAGAGAAGCTAAAAGACATAGGGAAGGAGGACCCAGAGTGGAGGCGGAACATGGAATGCAGACAGGATAGCCTCGCTAAGAGGGGGACTAAGGAAGCGAGGAACAAAGCCATGTGCATGGCTGCAGGTAAAGAATGTGGGGCCAAGGGAACAGTAGGTGCTAAGGCTGAGAGCCAGGTGTGAGGCTGGTGTGTGGTTACTGAATCACTGTCTTTCTTCTAATTACTTGAAAGGAGGATACCTCAAGCCTCTATTTGGTGTGTGGGAAGCCAGCCTGGAGGTTCCATGGAGGAATGCCTGAGCATCTACCCTTAGCCTACAAATCAAAGGCAGCAGCATTTCTGAACAAATGGAACCTTCAGGAACAGTGACAGACAGATAAGGGTCACTAGGCTTCACTGCATTATAAAAGTCAGGTGACTGTGCCAGTGGGGAATCAGGACTCAGTATGCATTTAAACTGTGCTAGCAAACAGCTGAGTGCTCCAAGAGAAAAGTGAGAGAAAACGAGTTTGGGACTAAATTCCTTTAAATACCAGAAAGCACCATCTTTGAATGCATACATCCCCAAGTTTTAGCAGTAGAATATTATTCTCATCAAACTCATTCCTGCTGCTTATCAAAGTCAACAACTTTATATTTATTCTCATTCTTACATGGCTGAAAAAAATATTCATTAGCACGTGTTCATCTTTTCTGCTATTATGCTGAAGTTTGGGAGGAAGAGAGAGTTCTGATAAAGTACATTATGTAGTTTTTTTAACTGCTGGGAAACTTGAAAATATTTCCTTTAGAGAGGCAAATTTGTAAAATATTTCTCTTGACCTGTTTCTTTAAGATTTTTTTATTTGAAAGGCAGAATCACACACACACAAGCACAAGGGAGAGTAAGATAGAGACAGAAATAGAGAGAGAATCTTCCCTTCACTGGTTCACTCCACAGTAGCCACAATGGCCAATGCTGAGCCAAACAAAAGCCAGGAACTCCATCTTGGTCTCCTACATAGAGATGGCAGGCCCCAAGCATTTGGCTCATCTGCTGCTGCTTCCCTAGTACTTTGGCAGGGAGCTGGATTGGAAGTGGAGCAGCCAGGACTCCGATAAGGGCTGACACTTAGATATGAGATGCTAGTATCACAAGCAGCATAATCCTCTGCACCATGATCGTAGTCCCTCTTAATATGTTTCTCACATCTAACTCAGTTTTATGTGAGGGGTCTTCAAAATATTTCAGGAAGGGCCAGCAGTGTGGAGCAGCAGGTTCAACCAGTGTCTAGGCTGCTTATATCCCATTTCCAAGTCCCAGAACCTACTCTTCTACTCCAGCTTTCTGCTAATGATTAATGATGGCTCAAGTTTCTGGGCCCCTGACACTCACAAGACAGATCCAGTTGGAGTTCTGGGCTCCTGACTTCAACCTGTTTGGGCTATGGCTGTTATAAGCATTTGGAGAGAAACTGGCAGATCGGAGATCTCTCTCCCTTACTCGTTCAAGTCAATAAAAACAAATAAAGAAAATGCATGTTATTTCTAAAATATATATGGACTTCAAAACTGAAAAAAGTTTTGAGAAACAGAGAAAGTACTTATCTTCTGGCTTTCCCAATGCCCACAGCGAACAGGAGACCAAAGCTAGGAGGTAGAACTTAACCCATATCTGCCACATAAGTGGTAAGAACCCAATTACTTGGGAAAGCATCACTACCTCCCAGGATCTGCGTTAGCAGGAACCTGGAATCAGCAGCCAGAGCCAAGTACCAAGCCCAGCTGTTCTGACATGGGCCAGGGTTATCCTGACCAGTAACTCGACCTCTAGGCCAAACATCCATCCCAGATTACAACATTTCTTGCACCAATTTGTATCAATTCTGCCCTTCAGTGAATTTTTTGGAGTACTCAAAGTTATCCTGAAACCAGCACATACTGCATTTGAATTAAATGTGTGTGTGTGTGTGTGTGTGTGTGTGTGTGTGTGTGTGTGTATTCTTTTCTGGTTTGCTGCCCAGATGTCCACAGTGGTGAGGATTGGACCTGGGACAGAGCCAAGAAACAGGAACTCCACCGAGATCCTCCACATGGGAGTCTGCAACCCAGTGACTTGAACCATCATTGCTACCTCAGGATCACCACTGGCAGGTAGCTGGAGTTAGCAGCAGGATTTGAGCCAGGCACTCCAGTGTGGGACATTGGTGTTTTAAAAAGTAGACTCGGGCCTGGCACACGTGGTAGCCTATCAGCTCCCATCAAGCTCCCTGTTGGTAGCCTGGGAAAGCAGTAGAGGATGACCTAAAGCCTTGGGATCCTGCACCAACTTGGGAGACCTGGAGAGGACTCCTGGCTCCTGGTTTCAGATTGGTCCAGCTCCAGCCATTGAGGCCACTTGGGGAGTGAACCAAGGGATGGAATATCTT